ATTAAAAAAGATAATGGGTAGTTGTGTTCCATAAAAAGAGGATCCATTATCTGATTTTTCTTTTAATTTTAAATTTTTTAAATATGAAAAAGATAATGGGTACAATATATATATATATATATATCTAGTCCATGCCAAAACAAAAAGGAAAAAAATTATCTTCATATATGTATTTTTTCTTATGAACTAATTAAAGATTGCATGTATTATCTAGTAACATTATAAATGGGAGATTCACAACAAGGAAAAGGAAAAACATCTTATAACCCATGGACCTCGAAATAGAGCAATATGCTATTAGAACTAATGGTTGATGCTGCCAACCGTGGATGGCACGATTCTAATGGTTTGCTAAGCAAGCAAATAGTAGAAAGCAAGATACTTCCTGTTCTTAATGCAAAACTTGGATGCCAAAAAACTTATCATCAATATCAGAGTCGTCTGAAATGGTTTAAGACAAGATATCACAGTTTTACTCAACTTATGCGTCATAGTTCTGGATTTGTCGTCTGGTAATTTTACTTCATCACCTTTTCTAGACAATTCAACTCTTTTAAAATCTTAATTGAATACATCCCCTTAATATTTGCATTAACCAATGACATTTTCTGGTATTTAAAGAATGGTGAAACATTTTCACCATTCTCTGCTTTTTGCTTTATATATAGACAAGTTCAACTTTGATTGATCGAACAAAAAAAGATGTTCAACATTGATTGGTGTCTCAAGGACTCCCCCAACCGCCCATCCGTGTAAAAGCTGTAACAACGTTAACTCCCAAAAATACTTCAATCGAAACAAAGATAATTAGAAAAAGAAAAAGAAAAAAAAAAAAAGGGTAAATCCCAAACCGCCTTCCCCGAAACGAACCACAGCGACCCTCAATTATATTCAGAAACCCTAAAACCTCTCTCTCCATTGTAACCCACTCGTCTGCGTCCCCATCTCAACACTACTTTCCACAGGCACCAAATCTCTCTCTCTCACGCCTCTCTTTGTGATCGTTATCTCAGTTCCTCGAACGCTTCTTTAATCGTCTCCTGGTATTTTCCTTCTCCTCTCTCTCTCTCTCTCTCTCTCTCTATGATCTAATTCTTTGTTGCTGTACACCTTTTAGGGCTTCTGATTTGAAATCCTTTGTAGATTTGTTGTTACTCGGTGTTTTCCGCCAATTAAAAGTAGTTCTCTTTCTTTATGTTCTTTGATTTCTAGTCGATGCGAAAAGATCGCGTTGATTTTAGGTTTTTGGGGATCTGATTCGCCTGCTTTTTGATCTGAATCATTATTTGTTCTTGTAACTTGTTTTCTGGTTTGATTATCTTTACATGATGGGGTTGTATTAATGTATTGTATATGTTCGTTCTCTAAACAATGAAATTGTTGCTCTTGGAAACAAATAAATCTAACAAAGTTGATTTACAAAGTGATATGAGTAATTTTTAAGTGTTGTTTGCCAATCTTAACCAAGCGGTAGACTATGATTGATGAGTTAGAGATTATCGTTATTGATATTTTTTTTGTTTCATTTTGTTTTGTAATTTCAGGTCTAGATCTCCATTTTTAGCAGAAGGATTTCACTTGTCTCTCGTTTGGATGTCTACTGCTTTGGATATGTCGCTTGATGACATGATTAAGAACAGCAGGGGTAATCGTGAGAGAACTAGAGGTGGTAGGGCCCCTCGTGGCCGTGGGGGACCACGTGGGTCCTTTAATGCTGGAAGGATGGCAGCTGGAAGAATTCCAGGTGGAAGAATGACAGGAGCAGTTCGTAGAGGTCCTCTCCCAGTGAATACTCGGCCATCCTCGTATACCATTGCCAAGGCAAGCTAAAAAATGTAGATGTTTTAAAACCCTAAAACCTCTCTCTCCATTGTAACCCACTCGTCTGCGTCCCCATCTCAACACTACTTTCCACAGGCACCAAATCTCTCTCTCTCACGCCTCTCTTTGTGATCGTTATCTCAGTTCCTCGAACGCTTCTTTAATCGTCTCCTGGTATTTTCCTTCTCCTCTCTCTCTCTCTCTCTCTCTCTCTATGATCTAATTCTTTGTTGCTGTACACCTTTTAGGGCTTCTGATTTGAAATCCTTTGTAGATTTGTTGTTACTCGGTGTTTTCCGCCAATTAAAAGTAGTTCTCTTTCTTTATGTTCTTTGATTTCTAGTCGATGCGAAAAGATCGCGTTGATTTTAGGTTTTTGGGGATCTGATTCGCCTGCTTTTTGATCTGAATCATTATTTGTTCTTGTAACTTGTTTTCTGGTTTGATTATCTTTACATGATGGGGTTGTATTAATGTATTGTATATGTTCGTTCTCTAAACAATGAAATTGTTGCTCTTGGAAACAAATAAATCTAACAAAGTTGATTTACAAAGTGATATGAGTAATTTTTAAGTGTTGTTTGCCAATCTTAACCAAGCGGTAGACTATGATTGATGAGTTAGAGATTATCGTTATTGATATTTTTTTTGTTTCATTTTGTTTTGTAATTTCAGGTCTAGATCTCCATTTTTAGCAGAAGGATTTCACTTGTCTCTCGTTTGGATGTCTACTGCTTTGGATATGTCGCTTGATGACATGATTAAGAACAGCAGGGGTAATCGTGAGAGAACTAGAGGTGGTAGGGCCCCTCGTGGCCGTGGGGGACCACGTGGGTCCTTTAATGCTGGAAGGATGGCAGCTGGAAGAATTCCAGGTGGAAGAATGACAGGAGCAGTTCGTAGAGGTCCTCTCCCAGTGAATACTCGGCCATCCTCGTATACCATTGCCAAGGCAAGCTAAAAAATGTAGATGTTTTATGATATGCTTGAGAATATGATTTTAAAACCCAAAATACACGAGGATCTCTAAAACGTTAGAAAGTCAAATACGAGAGGATCTGTGACGTATGTTGTTCATGGAGAAGCTCATTTTGGCTTTTGGCTCATCTTCTAAAGCGCTATCGTCGTCCACTGCATATGTACCATTATCTTCGAGATTTATCTGTACTTGTGGGTTAATTGGGTTAATTTCTGGGGACTTTGAGGAATGGCGAATTATCTTGTTATCTATTCATGAGCTGACATTTGTTTTCCCCATCTGGATCTTTTTCTGCATTCTTTCATCAGTCTACCCGCCGAACCAAGCGTTTCCCATGGCAGCCTGATTTGTTTGAAGACAGCATTAGAGCTGCGGGGATATCAGGGATTGAAATTGGCACAAAGTTATATGTTTCCAACTTGGACTATGGAGTGACAAATGAGGATATAAGGGTACAACTTGAGCCATTTATTTTCATCTTAAGCGCTTTCTATAACAAATTTCTTGTAACGTTCCCCTGAAACATCACGTGAAACTGCAACTCAGGAACTTTTCTCTGAGATCGGAGAGCTGAAACGATATGCAGTACATTTTGACAAAAATGGCCGTCCAAGTGTGAGTTCTTCTCCTCCTTATCTAGACTTTGTCCCTCATTTTATTTTCTATCCTGATTTGTTGTTCTGTTTATGTTTGGCCCTGATCCTCAGTTAAAATCCTGATGTTGGTTGTAAAGTCTAGAAATGAGTTAAAGAATTGGAACTAGATGAAATCATGAAGGAAGCATTGTTATCTAGATTTTTTCCCTCATTTTATTTTCTACCCCGATTTGTTGTTCTGCTTATATTTGGCACTGATCCTCAGTTAAAATCCTGATATTGGTTGTGAAGTCTAGAAATGAGTCAAAGAATTGGATCTAGATGAAATCATGAAGGAAGCATTGTTAATAGAGTTATTTTTTGTTATTATATCTGGACGTATATTCACTATATATGCCAAAAAGGCAGAAAGAGCATGTTGTCCAAATTGGTTGGTGATTCATGAAAAACCACCCTCTGCTTACTACACATCAAAGCCTGTGACTGTGACTGCACCGAGATATACCAAATAAGGAGAATATTGTACTCCATAATAATGTAATGGGCATGATTCAACTCTGTTCAATCCTTATGAAATTACCATGTTCAGAAGTACAAGTAGACATTTTATAACACATATATATGTGTTAAATTTCTCTTACAAGTTTTCAATACAGATTGAGGTCCAACAAAGAACTGGATAAATCAAAGCTTTTAATTTGTTCTTTATAATTATTTGCACATTTTACACTTTTTTTTAAGAGGCATTGTCTCCGTGGTTGTCCATTAGCAGTTTGATGTATAGAACTGGCTTTCTGACTCGAACCTTCTGCAAAAAGCCAGTTTAGGTTTTATCTTCCTCTGTTGTTTGACCTTGGTGTGTATTTTGAAATAGTTTATTTATGTTTTAACTCCCGACATGAGCGGTCCATTAAGGATTGTTGAATTTGGGTATGTCCAGGACCTAAGTTATATGTAATCCATTAGGTCTAGCCACAGAATTATTGAATGTATACTGTTGCTCTTCTTGATACTATTCAATAGACAGATTCCTTTGGTGGTCAATTTCATTGAGGGAAAAATGTTTACTGTTTTTATCACAGGGTTCTGCTGAAGTGGTTTATACTAGAAGAAGTGATGCATTTGCAGCATTGAAGCGGTATAATAATGTCCTATTGGATGGGAAGCCTATGAAGATTGAGATTGTTGGTGCCAATGCAGGGATGCCTATTTCGGCTCGTGTGAATGTGACAGGAGTGCATGGAAGGAAGAAAAGGACTGTTGTAATGGGGTATGTTTTTTTCCCCTTTCACACTCCATTTCTTTCATATTTATTAAGCAACTGACACTGCAAGTATAGGCATGTATCATGTTACGCATAAACCCAAAGACCATTTATGTGCCATAACAGTTGGTGTAGTTCATCCTTGAGATTATTGATTTTTAGTTTTGGAGTCTTTTCTTGCTGGACATAAGCCTGTTGACATGGACACTTTTAATGATTAAATTACAATATGGATGTATCAATATGCTTGCAGCTTGTGGTTAAAGGATATGGGGAGATGTTGAAGATAGCCTTGAATAATCACATATTGCTTCAGTTTCTACCAAATATATTTTTTTTGGAATTGTGGACAATGTTCATCTCCCATTTTTGTTGTCTGGTATCCAATGAACACCCCTAATGACATTCTTGTTTGTTATTTTCTATTAGATCTTTTGGTTAAATATGAATGTATATGAATTTGCCCGACCAATTTTTCTTTTCTTGGTCTAATTTACTAGTGATGTTTTCCATTATAAGATCAGTATGTTGTTTTTCTCCTTGTGGGGAGAGGTTCTTTCAGACGTCCTAGGTTATCCATCTTTCCTTGTTTGAAAATTGAGGGTGGGGAGTTGGGTAGATGTTTGGGCGGGGGTATTATCCTTCCAACTTCTTTTTCCTTCCTCATATAGTCTCCTCGAACTTAAATGCAGGCACCTATTCCTCAGTTTCATAGAAACTTGAATGATGGATAATTCCAGAAATATGCAGACTTGTTCCCCCTTCTAAATGATATTTCTTTGCATCCAATTTGGGTAGATAAAGAGCCACTCTTCTGGCTCCACTTTGTGTGTTTTTTTTTATCTATTTTGAATTTTTTATACTTCAGTTGGCCACCAGTCAATTGATTCCTCTCCGCTTAAGTTGATTTAACAGGTTGGTCCCAATTTCAGCTAAGGTGCAAATTCTTTCTTGGTTGGTGGTTCACGGAAAGATAAATACCTGTGACATGTTCCAGAAAAGAAGACCTGTGGCGTGTTCATTTTCACATTGTTGTGTGTTGTGTAAGGAGGGGGAGCATGTGGGCCATTTATTCTTGCATTGCAGATTCACTTGACTGATCTGGAATCAGTTTTTACAGGGCTTTGGTTGGGTGGACCCAAGAAACTGCAATTTTGTACTGAGGCCTTACTGGTTTATGGTGGTTTGACTGTTTTAGGTGTTTTGTCCGGGTTTTCGTGTTATGGCTGTTGTTTGAGGTGTCTGATGGACTGCTATTCCATGCTCCTTGTAGGCCATTTTGTTTTTTCTTAAAACACTTCATGTTTCATATGAAAAAACATGTTGCTTGTCTCCTCATAATCCTTTGTTTCCCTTCCTAGAGCACACTTACTAAGTCATCAGTTCACAACAGTTTCTTATACTCCATGATTTGTAGGCTCTTTATATGTGTGGGGCCAGTGTTGTTGGATGACAAAAAATAAATATCTTTATCATTTTTTGTATTCCACTCACACATCTTTTAATGTAGGCCTGGACCTGGTCGTGGTGGTGGCTATGCTTTGCCTATGGTTAATCGTGGTTCTGGGTAAGTCCCTATCTGTTGATCTTGTTAATACAGAAGTGTGTCTTTTTGAACTGTCAATGTTATGTTAATTTCAATGATGTAAAACTTATATGCTAGAGTTCCTGTAGTGTCATATGCTTGTTGAATGACTTATGCATGTTAGAAAGATGTTTGCATCAATTGGGTCGTTTGGGGGGTTGTTTAGGATGGATATGAATCTCAATGTTGCCTGGGAACTTAATTGTCTTTTTTGGCCTGCTGGTGGTGTGTTCAGTTAGTGTTTTATTCTTGTGGTTTGCTCCCTGGACCTTGTATTTCTTGTCTTGTTTTGTACTCCTTTCATTAATAAAGTTTTTGTATCTTGTACAAAATGTTGGCGTCTGAACATGAGAAGAATTAGGGTTTTGAAGGGGGCATGATCAAAATATTTTGTGGCTGGGATTTGGGTTATACGTGCAGAGAATAAAAAAAATGAAGGAGAAGACGACTCCCAGGCACCAAAACTAGCATTCCTTAGGCGTCACACTTAGGCTGAATTGCACAAACAGTAGAAGATTACTAGGCATCATACCTAGTGTTCCGTAGGGATCATATTTGGGCTGAATTGCATAACCTAGTGTTCCACTATTCAGCCACGCATCATCATAAGGCTGAATAGTAGAACACAATTGAAAAGAAAAGTGTTATGGCTGCTGCACTTCCTCAGAACTTGGCCATTGAGTTGAGAAGATCCGACCCATATAGGGCCTTTATTCTTAAGGAAAAATGTACTGGGCTTTTTGAATGTGAAATTACTAGAGCAAATTATAAATCCATAGCACCAGAATAATATAGGCAAATAAATGCCATGACTTACTGATTGAGGGAAGTCGGGATTTACGGTTACAACTCAATAATGACTGTAGTAGCCTAGCTTAGAAATGTAACCTAAGCTGCTGTGGCTTGGTCTTCAAGCTTTATTTTTTCTTGATCTTCATCCATCCTTCATCTCTATCTTTCTCTCTCCCATTTTATTTAAGAATCTGTAAATTATTATTAAGAAAGTGATTTGTGCAAAGATTTTGTTGAAGGAAAAAATAAAAAATTCTGGTATATGGGCTAGAGATCCAAACTTGGCAACTTCAACTGGATTGGTTACAAATGCCAAATGTTCATTCAGATCATATGGGAGGGTCCCTATTGGAAGTTGATAAATTCCAAGTCAGTAGATTTGATTGAGCTTTAGGTGATTCTTGTTTCTCTTTTTGGATGGGCTCAACAGACATTATCTTCAACCAGTAAATTCTATGGAACTTAATTATAGTTATTTTGCATTGTATTGCAAAATAAAATTATTTCTAATATATATTTTGCAATTAATATAACTTCTCTTTTGGTATGGGTAACTACTAAAGTTGTATGAAGGCCACATTGAAAGCCCATATTTTAACAGACTGTTTCTGGTGTTCCTTTTGCCTGCTGTTTCTCTGTTACCTTGTAAGTTTCCAACAAAAACGGCAGGATTTCATAAGATGAAATATAACCTGTCACACATTCAGTAAAAATTGAATTGTTATGGGTCACTGCAGTCTGCATTAAAGTTGAGCTGTTTGAACTATGTTTGATTGATTGCATTGTGTACATCAGCCGTAGCTGTGGATGCTGTCTCTAGTATGTCAGCATGCATAAGTCTTGAAATCTCTTCATCATCTACCTATTGACTTATAGAGCAATCCAGCAGTGAAAATTAAGAACATGTATTGGATGCTTATCTTCCCAGTTATTTTGAAAGATACTTTGTCTTCCCAGTTGATAATGTAATCTTTTATTTATTTATTTATTCTCTAAATTTGCGGTAACTATTTTTTGTCTAGAGTTAGTTGGCAATAGCTGTTGTATGATATATGTGCTGCTGTTGGATTTCAGTAATAGCTGTAGCATTTCAACGTGTGATTATAATGTTGCTGGATTTTGTAGCAGGAACAGTCGTGGAGGGATCAGAAATGGTCGCGGGCAACCTCGTGGGAGTGGGAGCGGCCGTGGGCGTGGTCGCGGTGGGCAAGGGAGGAAGAAGCCTGTTGATAAGTCAGTTGATGAACTTGACAAGGAACTCGATAGCTACCATGCAGATGCCATGCAATCTTAGTAAAACTGGAGCTGTGGGGAACTTGCTGGTATCTCGATCAGTATTAGCTATGGTAGCTGTACAAAAATGACCGTTATGATTTTCGAGATGTTAACTTATTCTGCTTGGATGTCTCAATGCTTTTCATTCTGGGCTAGCAAATTTTAGAGGAAATGAAGCTGTTGGTTGATTTGAAAGTTTTTTCTTTCATGGTAGAATTTATTTCTTGTAATATGATGATGCTTTAATGTTCCGACGATTTGCTATATCAGATAAAGGAGTTGTGCATATTGTTTTTGGTGAAGACGTGGGACAACACATGCACCCAGAAGTTTCAAAGAGATAGATTAGCAACCTGATGTATATTATTGAAATTGGCCAAGATCATCTCAACAGTATGTTTTTAGTATTGAAGTTTTCATTCTGGCGGGGAAGAAAACCAAGATATGGCTTGGAATTTGTCTTTGAGTGTGGCTTGGTGGTAGATGCTTTGTTTGGGCCTTCATACAATCCTGTTCTTCGTTTCATGAAGAAAAAAACAGAATTGCTTTGCTCTTGCAAGTTGCATGCTTTAAGAGTATGCCGATAGTGGTCCTCAATCTAGTCAGATTTATTTTGTTGGGAGTGGATGACCTAGTGCACTTCTTTTATGATTAAAACTGCCTTTTATTTCAAAGTTACAATACAATATAACATGTACATAAATAACTTATTGAAAGCACAAAGAGAGAAGTTTCTGTGATTTGTAATTATTTTTTTCAAAGGAAAATGCTAGGCTTATCAAATTTGTATACTAAATTATATATCACATCTCTAATAAGGTTGAGCTCTATTGTATTGGTGGGCTCTATCTTTTTTAAAGAGGTGGTACACAATGTGTATGCACATTGTGTGAAACATCCTGGCATGTTTCTGAAATCAAATTTTGTGGTTGACAAGAGTCGGGCATCTTGGAAGCATGCACATTGTGTGAAACATCCTGGAATGAGTTTGAAATCAACTTTTGGTATAAAAATGTGATAAGTCTAGCATTACCCTACTTCAAATATAATGCTTTATTAATAACTTTAGGGAAAAATAAAATAAAGAGAAAGATAGAACCATCATCATTATTACACAAGCGGCATGCCATGTTGAGCATGGCCCGGTCCATTGGACCTAATTTTTTTGATCCCGACATGGCTCACTAATATTCGTGCTTGTGCCGTGATGTGCCCCATTTAAACGGGATGGGCCAGCCTATCCTGTTTGACACCTCTACACACGCCTTGGAGTTTGGCACTAGAATGGAGAAAGACTTTTATGCAACGAAAATAACACTTTTTGCTATCCGTGGCCAATAACGCAATAACACGTGAGATAACTTTTCCATGTATCATTGTGTCATTGGTTGGGGATAGAAAAACAGTACTATCCCTGTTACAAGTAAGTTTTTCTGCCAGGAATGAGCCTTCTATAACGGTGGAGTGTGTCGAGAAGTTCAGTCCAACTTTTTTTTTTTTTTTTTTCAGTTCAATCAAATTATTCAATAATAACAATTTTATTGATCGCACATCTATTAAGGATCCCCTCACACATAAATAAAGGTAGAGAAATTGTATTTATTATTTAAGCCTACAAGTGTACATCATACAAGTTTGTAAGTTACTTTGACACACACAAAAAAAAAAAAGTATTTTTTTGGTATAAGTGATAGCTTTTTTTTTGGATCCATCTAAATTACACGAGTATGGAAGTTTCTCATACGCACACTACCAAGATAGGCTCAAACACAAGATAACTTATCAGCAAAGCAAGTCAATACCTTTTTCTACTGGGCTAGATAACATCGGAATAGAAAGTAAAGTTTTTAGATTACAGAAACCGCCTCAAAACTCTTCTAGATTGTACTCGATGCTTCTCTTCTAAGAAACCTTCTCACTCAGCTCACACACTGCCTACACGACCATGCTTTCCTCTCTCCATTATTTCACTTTCTATATTAGGAGTTTCCTTTCTCCATTTCTCCTCTGCCCCGTTGCTGCTCTAGTCTTCTCTCTTCTCTTCTCTTCTCAACAAAGTCCAAAAATACAAAAACATAAATTAACAGTTTAAATCACAATCGAAAATATGTTCGGCGTCGTCTTCCCGAACCGTAGCTTCCCAATGGACATCTCCTCCTTCTCCCAAATCGACACCTTCCACTGGATCCTCGACATGAACACCTTCGTTGGTATTTTATTTTCCTTTTTGTCCATTTTTCCAATTTCCCAATTTTTTATCATCGGCTCACTCTATCACTCAAACCTATGATTTTTCTAACGTGCGCAGGGGAGGCCTACGATCAGGTCCGCGAAATGTGTATCTTCCTCTTAAACAACTTCACCCTCCCACCGGACAAAGCCCTAGCCGTCTACATCCAGTCCCCCGGCTCGTCCTTCTTCTTCTGCGGCGCCGTCACCGTGGCTCGGCCGTCGGCTGTGCTCGCCTTGCCGTGGCCGGAGCCCGGCGGCGAGCTTCAGCTCACTGCCGACGCGGTGCCGCTGTCGGCCAAAATTGGTGTGTCGGTGGAGGACCTGGCGTCGCTGCCGTCGCTCGACGTCACCGCCGAGAAGCGAATAGAGCGATTGGCGATGAAGGTTGGGGAGAATCTGTTCAATTTCATGCAGTCGTTTTGTGGTGTGGATGGGTCTAAGCTGGTGGTGCCTATGGATATTTTGGATCGGTGGTTCAAGAAGTTTCAGGAGAGAGCTAAGCGCGACCCTGAGTACCTGAAAGGCTTCGCTTTGTAGTTTTGTAAGCTCTGCTCTGTACTTTTCTCTGTATTGTTTGGTTAAAAGAAGTTGAATTTTAAATTTGTAACGTGTTTTATGAAAATTGTGAGTTGATTTTGGTACTGACTGTTTTTTGTTTGGGTGAATTTCGATTGATGACCAGTTTCAAACCAACTGTTTAGCAAACGCTAGAAAACTTCCCTTACTTTAGAAATGTGTGGGAAACTATACTGGAGTTTTGGTGATGACAAGGGTATTAAGGGACGAGAAGAATAGGTACAAAATTGTGGGTTGTGAATGAGAGAGAATTGGTGGTATGGTATGCAGGTAGAGTTTTGAAAGCTGGGAGGGGTCTGTCTAAAGAATGCAAAATAGCTGAGACAATGGTGGGTTGTTTGAGTTGTTGGTCTGGATTTGCGATGCTAATGCTGAAATGTGGCATTATTGGTGACAAGTTATTTTGAATTAGAGGGCAAGAAATCGGTTAATCGGTAATCTTAGTTGTTAGTCGTCTTTCATCTAGTCACATTATTAGATAACAAAGTGTGGTTGAGATTAGACTTGGGTTCAATTTTGTAAATTTTGAATTTTACTCATGTATTGTTGTTGAATGGCATGTACTTTTTTTTTAAAAAAAAAGGAGAGTTGTAAATGTTGATATAGATGAGTGGTAGTACCCTTCAAAAAGTGTATCGAATATATGAAAAAGAAGGCTCTTCTTACCCAGACTTTATGCTGGATGATTTTAGGCTGTTGTTATAACTTATGTGGATGCACTGCAGTTGCACTGTGCTATCCAAGAGAGTGTATGCTGTTGTTTTTTCACGACAGTATTTTATGTCCTTATTTTGATGCAGTCTAGAAGTCATAGTATTTATGCTTTTATGTTAGGAGAAACTGAGAAGTGGTAGTCTTTAATTTCGTTTATTATAAATGAGTAGCTCAAAGAAATTCCTGAAAGTTTAAGGTCATTACAGAAACCATTTCTTTTGAGATATGAATCAACTTTACAGAATTTTCCTGCAGCATACACTTAGGATTGTGATGCAGTCTAGCCCTAGGTGATACGCCTAAGATATATCGAATCAAGATAGTAGTTTCTTATATTTTTTTAGTGAACTTCTTTCCCTGTTCCTTAATTCCTATTCCATTTCACTACAGTTTATAGCCAAAGTTACACTACCAATTGCATTTTGTTCCATCTTTTTCTATATCAAAATAAAAAGACTTTCTACTTTCGAAGATCAGAAGCTCACCCAAGAACTCAATGGAATTGAACCGATTTAGAACTCGATGGAATGGAATAGATTTAGAAATGAGATTATTATCTGGTGATCTACTAGACAGTATCAACATTTGCTTGCTTTGTTCTGCTACCTTGAGTTGAGACGAGCAGTCTTGTATATGCTTGAAATGTGGTTGAGAGACAATTGTTGGTGCCATGGACTGCATATAGTTGAGAATTTTGTTGTCAGTAATATTTTAAAATCGAGTGCCCATTTGGATGGAACGATTTAGAGGATTTGGTAACTCATGTGCTAAGTTAGGAAGATCTAAACCACATAACATATTGTATCACATGTTAAAAAAGGTGTTGCAAATGTAAGTTTTATCGGCACTGCCCTTCGTGTTATCACCATGAAATGAAATCCACCATCTTGTAGTTATTGAAGGTCGTTCAAATTTCTCTTAGACATCCTTTGAATGAAAATGAACATGAACAAATTTCTTGGCACTCTTTCGAAATATCGATTGTATGCCGTATATCCTTAAGCAAATTTTCCACCCGGATTAATCTGCGTCATTTTTTGATTGTTGTGGTAATTTGTAAGATTTCTTAGACACCAACTTATGTCACCAACTGTTTTTCTCGCGCTAAGCTTTGTTCGCTTCGCAAGATGCGAGGTCAATTGTGCTAGCAAAAGTAGTGAGCTCAGTTCAGGAACTTTTCTTCGGACACCATGTGACTATTTATTCAAAGCAAATAAGAAATTAGCAAATAAGAAATTGTCACGTTAGTTGGTGTCGAAAAATTAGTATATTTATCTTGAAAATATGGGGGAATATTGGCCAATGATCGTGAACGACAATTATTGATGAACAAAATTACAAAAGTGAACACACAGAAGACACAACAGTTTCCACGTGAGGTTATTGCTATAAGGACATAGGTAGGTCAACATCAAAATACATATGTTGGGGGATAAATAAAAAATAAAATCCTATTCTCTCCGTCCTTACACAGCAGTTAAAACACGATTTACATATGATACTTGGGTCTAAATTCTACACGTGACTTATATTGGATGCATCTTTTTATTTTTGTTTTTGTTTTCGTAATTCAAACACGCACATGAGCTCGTATCGAGAAACTCGTGGTAATTCTTATTATTAATATCTAAGGAAGATAATGGTGAGCTTTTTTGACTATCTTCACAATGATGCCTTAGATAAGACTCTCACTCACTCCTTATAAACCCATATGCTAGGTCCCTTAACTTTTTAATGTGAATATAAAACGAATTTCCAATAGTTATTTCTCATGTCACGACTGCTTTGTTACAAATTATGGTCAAGAATTTATTAATTTGATTAGTGCGTTCGGAAACAGTTTTTGGTTTATGAAAAATCAATTGTATGTGTGTTTTTTTATTAATCTTTGCACCAAATGGATTATAACAGGTTTAGTACTTTTGGTTTATAAGTCATCCATGTCATAAATCTTTTCTTTCTAATTTGACGTAGTCTTGGAAGAAAAAATCTTTTGCCCAAATTGGAAATTGAGCCAAGAGCCATTGTAGGTAATTCATGTTCTAAAGCTGAGCAGCTTAATTAATTACTAATTATAGGATGGTTGACCAACATTCAACTTCTTAATTGGCCACATAAATATTAACGGTGATGAGCTTTCCGATGGGAGTATAAATTGGGCTGAAAGCAATGGAGTTTCATCGTACTCCAACGAAAAAGAAAATAACAAAGTCTCAAGATGGGTTTGAAACTGAAAAATGTCTTGCCAATGTTCATGTTCTTGTTGTTAGCATCCACAGCTAAAGCTCAACCTGCTGCCTTAGATGTGACAAGTGCAAAATATGGTGGAAAGCCAGACTCTGATATTACCCAGGTAACAAAAACATTTGAATTCATACTCGGTTATGATTAGAATTTGTTTCTACAATGGTTTACCAAACTAAATCATTAACAGTTTTAAATTTGTGTAATGTTAATTAGGCTTTAGAGAAGGCTTGGACAGATGCATGTGCATCAACAACACCGAGTAAAATTGTTGTACCAAAGGGAACATTCAAGTTTGTAGGAACAACTTTTAAAGGTCCTTGCAAGGCTGCTATTGAGTTCCAGGTCCAAGGAACATTGCAGGCTCCAGTAGATGGCAGCCAGCTCCCGAAGGACGACACTTGGATTGGTTTCGACCACGTCGACGGGCTCACCTTGTCAGGTGGTGGAACTTTTGATGGCCAAGGAGCACAGTCTTGGAAAAACAATGATTGCAACAAAAATAGAGAATGCAAATCTAAACACATTGTAAGATGATTTAATCCTACCATGTTGTTTTATGTACTTGAAAATCTTCTTGTGTCACACAGGAGCATTTGCGAATCTTGCTCATTGATCAATTCTTGACTTGATGATACGTGATCTAGATTCACAGCCTGACAATATAAAATATTTGTGTTTGATTTGTTTTCTTAATATATGCAGAATTTGAGGTTTCACTTCCTCACCAATTCCAAAATTTTGGACGTAACTTCAAAAGATAGCAAAAATTTCCACGTCAATCTTTTGAAGTGCGAGAAGGTTGAAATCAAAGGATTTACTGTCTCAGCACCTAAGGAAAGCATGAACACTGATGGAATTCACATCGGGCGTTCAACTGGGATCAGCATCACTGACACAACCATCGGAACTGGAGATGATTGTATTTCGATCGGTGACGGTACCAAGGACATCACTGTGACCAACGTTACTTGTGGGCCAGGCCACGGCATAGCCATCGGGAGCCTTGGAAGGTACCCAGAAGAAGAACCCGTGTCCGGCATCAACATTAAGAAATGCACCTTGACTGATACAACGAATGGTGTGAGGATCAAAACATGGCCTGCTTCCCCAAAAGATGGCACTGCCTCAGATATTCACTTTGAGGATATTACCATGGTTAATGTTGGTAACCCTATCCTCATTGACCAAGAGTACTGCCCATGGAACGAATGCAAAAAAGGGGTATCTATCTATAACAATTTATTAACATCATATATATGTTCCTTGTTAATGAAGTCATCATTTACTGAATCTTTAAAAGGATTTAAATTAATCAATTAATGAATGGTTTTGTGTAGGTTCCTTCCAAAGTTAAGATTAGCAATGTTAGCTTCAAGAACATCAAAGGCACATGTACCGACCCAGTTGCTGTGAAGCTTGTATGCGCCCAAGGCATGCCATGTGAGAATGTGGAATTGAGTGACATTGATTTGAAGTACACTGGAAACAAAGGCCCTATTACCTCTGTGTGTTCTAATGTCAAGCCTACAATTAATCGCGTGCCACAACCTCTTGCTTGCGCTACCGGCGCTGCTGCTGCTTGATCTAACAAGCACAAACCATGCTGCTGATGTTTTCAGAGACACATTGGTTGTGTGTTCTTTGATTTTGTGCTAATTGTACTTGATGTTTTCATCTAAGAGGGGGAAAATATCTCAGTACATTTTTTGTTACATCTTAAAAGATATGAATAAATCTTCTTTGGATATTTGATTAAAAAAGAATGTTATTGGAATATGAATCTTCTTTGGATATTTGTTTAACCAAATTTACTCAATTAGCCTCTTTATTTAATTGTATCTGTATGAATGACTACATCGACCAGTGGTGTGCTAGGAAGGGGAAGAGGGAGGGGTGATTCAGTCTTATGATTTTTAATTTTTGTGCAAGAATAGAAGTAAAAAAAACTTCAAACAAAAAAGAAGAAGAAGGATTATTAATTCAAGTAATGTGTTGAGTTTAAATACACATTAAAAAAAAAACTTAAAAATTTGCCTTGAACATTTGTTATCTATTATCATCTGCATTTTTTATGTGCGCCATATTAATCATTCTTTCTTCTTTGTAGATGTGGATTAGGACAAAACAATGTGCCAATCCCCTTGCAATATGAATCTTCTTTGGATGTTTGTTTAACGAAATTAACTCAATTAGCCTCTTTATTTAATTATTTCTCTTTCTAGATATTTAGTAAGTTGTAAATGTTGTCAGACTATGAATGCAGGCGTATATCTTAACATCTTAGTAACCTTTTGAGTATGCTATCGATTTTAGGCTATTAATA